GTAGACTTTTCCTGGTGGGAATCATGTGCACCTTATCCCAACCATAAAACTCTCATGAATTTCAAAACTTCACCAGGGCCATGTATCCCTTGTAAATTGTTTTTATCCTGGTTTCTTTAGGTGTACTTGATACTTCTCAAATGGGTTCCGCATTTGTAAAACACTCAGATTAACACTATGTACTAAATTATACATAACAAGGTCTAACACAGCATGGAAAGACTTTATCCATTTGTATCAATTGTTTTCTCAGCAGATACATGCTGTATACAATAGCATGGATGAGAGGCATTAACTTAGTTTACTATCTTCAGTCATTTTCTTACAGCCATTTGATATCTTCGAGTTCTTATGTGGAGTTTCCCTGCATTTCTCCATCTCCGATTCATTCCTTGGAGCTAACTCAAGCTGCCTGGCCCTGCACAAGGTCAAAGAGAAATCGGGTCCCTCTCGCCCCTGCAGCACCTGTTGGTTCCCTGGGTCACGTAGGCCCTGGGTCTCACCTATCACTGTAGCCATACCTGTTGTCTCTCCATCAACCACATGTGGATGCTGTGGGAGACTCTGCATGATCAAATTGTCTTGACTCCTAGCATAACCTTTCACAGTAGGGAAATGTACCATTTAATCTGGGGGATCATTATCCAACCCTGGAATAATTTTTATCTTCTGCACCTGTATTGTATTATGGAGGCCTTCTGTGAACTGCTCCTCAGGTTTTAAAGCATTCCAGAGGCTCCTTAGCAGACTTTGACGTTTTCTCTATTTTTTTCTTTAGGAGATTGGACTCTATGTCACTAAATGTTGCATGTATATCCATTTGTGGTTTATTTTTAATTTAATCACTTTATTGTACTGAACTCACAAAAACATCACACAGTAGCCACTCAAACACTTCCTAGTCCCTAAGTCTATGCACCTTAGTGAATTTCTAGGCAGTTAGAATGGCCATTCTGAAGCCATGGAGCTTTACTTACAGTTTTACACTTTCATTATCAAGCACAAGCACATTTTGATGGACTCATCCGCTTCAGAGAAAAAGAAACAAAACAAAACAAGCCATGACACAGTTGAAACTAGAAAAATAATTCGCTTCACCCCCTTAAACATCTCCTGTCCTTTTGCATGCATTACATCTTTCCTCATCACCTACTATGACCTTTTCCTGGTCTCCTTTCTAAATGTTATAGAAAACCCACACTTAGAGCTATTTACAGATCTGTGTGTTTACATTACAGGGTAGCATCCACATACAAGGAACATGAGTTTTTGAGTTTGCTTAATATCATCCACTCCAAATCTATTTCCTTGCCAAATTCATCTTTCTTTACAGCTGAATTTCTATTTGTATATGTACCACATTTTCATAATCTCTCCATCTGTTGATGTATCCAGGTTGTTTCCATTTTCTTGCTATTGTTAATAGAGCAGCAATAAACATGGATGTACAAATATTTCTATAGTAGGATATGGAGTTCTCTGGGTAGTAGCTTGGTCATATTACCATAATTTGGTCATAGTACTATTAATTTGTCATATTAATTTGCACTCCATCGGCAGTCAATAACGGTGTCTCTTTCCCCACATTCTCTCTATCTGTTGTCAGGTTTCTTGATGATAGCCACTAAGAAGAGGTGGCATCTCAAAGTAGTTTTAATTTGCATTTCTCTGATGACTAGGAATGTTGAATGCTTACAAAAATGGTTATTGGCCATTAGTGTTTGTTCTTTTGAAAACTGTGGACCCTGAGCCTGCTGGGTCCACGGGCAGCACTTGTGCTGTGAATGAGACCTGCCCTCACTTGCAAACTCAGGGGTTTGAACACTCACTCCCTAGCTGGCGGCACTTTTGAGGTTCTGGAATTCTTAGGCGGATGCTTGCTGGAGAAAATAGGTCACTGGGGGGCAGATCTTTTATCACCTGCTCCCACTGCCTACTCACTCTCTGCTTCCTGACTTACTGCACCTTTCTCCATTAGGTTGCTTTTCGTCAGGTAGAGCAAAGAGATAACTGATGCACGTGACTTACTGTAGACTAGGAAATTAAGTTTCCCTCAACAGAGTTAAAAAATTACCAAAGTAATGAAGACATTTAAGAACAGTTATACATTTTATATATTTCTCTCTTCTGCTTAATAGTTACTTGACACAAAAGCAACCTCTACGTACATTGATGTAATCAATATTCACCTTAACACACACTGAAATAAAGCACAAGAATCACTGGGTACAGAAATCTGAATTAAAAAGTCACTCTCCTAGGCTGAAATGTAAGAGATCTTATTTATTCACCTATCTACTCACAAGATTTTTGGCAAAATGCCTTACATATTTCAATTTTTTTTTCTACAAAATTTATCCGATAACTGGTATTCTTGAACTGTTTCCACAAACGTGTTTTGAACTGCATGTCATGAAGTAAAAAGGGGTTTGCATAACTGATGTGGGGTTTGAAAAATAATAAAAAAGGCAATAAAAGTTTCCTGAAACAATAAAACTTAATTCAAACTCAAATTTGTAAGAAACACAAGGTAATTTTGGCAGCAATTGACTGCCAAAATTACCTTCACAAAGCCTTAAGTCATAAATGCCCATGTACTCTGCACTACTGCACACATCCTTACACCACATAACATCAACAAGTACTGCCTCAAACAGCCTGGCTTAGATCTGAGACTTAGGAATTATAGTATTTCTAATGTACTTGCCAAGTTTTTTGCTTATAGAAATATAATGGCATAACCAGAGAAAGTATGAGTTTTAATACTTTCCTATCAGTCCTCATAACCCACGGGGCAGCAAACTATGGTCAGTTAACTCTAGTTCCAGGGGATCTGCTGCTCTCTTCTGGCCTCCACAGGCATTATATGCACAGGTGCACTTACAGTACATAAGAGACTCATACACATACAAATAACAAACCCCCTAAATATTCAGGAAGATTATGTAGAAATAGTACATCCATCTCAGTATATAAAATTATGTTCCTTTATATGGTAAAATTAAATATATGTGTACATATATATATATATGCCAAATTTTTAAAATAATTTGAGATTTTTTTTTTTTGCCTGAATATACTTAAGTGCATCATGTACATGCAAGCGCTTGTGAAGGCCAGAAGAGTGTCAGAGCCCCTGGATTTGGAGTCAAGACACTTGTTAGCTGCCATGTGGGTCTTGGGAACCAAATCTAGGTTTGCACTTAACCACTGAGCCATCTCCCCAGCCCATAAAATGAATCTGATTTATAAGGAGATGTTTCGTTTGAATTCCTACTTTACACACCTATACACCTCAGGTCACAAATTTCTCACATGAAAAGGGGATGCAAAGGGAAAATGTTTTAAAGTAGTGCCATATACATTAAGTGTATTCAACAGTTAAGACCACACATCTGGTTTTTCTCAAACCTCTGGGGTGACTGCAGCATGGCTGGTGCTGGAGCTGGAACTCTTCACAACTGAAGCTGTTAGTCTTAGTTCTACAGCAACATAGGTTCCAAAGAAAAAGTCCTTTCAAAGACTTGTGAATCAACTGGTACCAACAGGTGGAGCTTGGAGGCCGCCCCCACCTCCATCCTCTGCTATTCCCAACCAGACCACAGAAGTGCTCCTAGGTCGTCATGTATGCCAGTCACTGCCCAGGGTTTGGGGTCACAACCATCTTGCTGGTGTAAGTACATTTGCCATGAATTGCTGGCCATGAGCCTTCAGCAAGGCTTTGAACACCCGATTATCAAAACTCCCAAACCCAGGTGCAAATGCAAGCCCTGTCACAGCACTGTGCCCCTCTCCTTTGATGATGGGCTCTTCTGTTAGGAGGAAGTCTGATTTCACAATGAACAATTTTTCCCACTGTGTCATTCAGATCAGTTTGGATGCTTATGTTTTCTATTTGTGAGCCACTGTCTTAATGAACTGATTTAAAAAACTCTACTTAAAAAAAAATCACATTAGCAGGGCTTGCCTTTGGGGCTAGATTTCCTATATCTGCCCTTGGAAGAAAAAAATAAAAATGACTAGTTCAAAGTCCAAATTCTGATTTTATGGATGTAAAATCTCCAGATTTCTACAAGATCTCCATGGTTTTCAGTCATGCTTTGTGTAGTTGTTCAACAGTGTTGCACCAGCTATAACAGGGAGAAAGGCCTGACAAGACTTAAAATAACAGCATGTTGGCACACATCTGCACTGCACATTGAGTCAGGCAGAAGAATCACTGTTGGTTTGGGGTCAGCTTATGTGATAGATTTCAAGGACAGCCTTGGCTACATAGCAAGACCTTAAAACACATACCACACACACCCACACATAAATCGCAAAGAGGGAGGGAGGATGGCCTGAATTGTTTTATACCAGAACAATGAAGCTGGATCAGATGGCACATTTCATTAAAAAAAAAAATTCTTTTATGTGTATGAGTGTATTGCCTGCATGTATGTAAATGCACCCATATGCAATGTCTGCAGAGGTGAGGAGAGGGTGCTGGACCCCTGAAACTGGAGTTATGGGAGGGTTGTTAGCCGCCACGTAGGGCCGGGGAACCAAACCGGGGTCCTCCCGAAGAGTAGCCTGTGCTCTTAACCACTGAGTCATCACTTCAGTCTCCAGATGGCACATTTCTGTCAATTCTGAGCATTAATGATCCTGTATCATACTTACTAACGACTATTTTTCCCCCTAGGCTTCTTTTATCAGTGTTTAACCTGAAATAGTGAAAAGTTTTCAAACTGTATCACATTTTAGAAATATTAAAATTCAAAACTACTTCTGGCTAGTAATAGAAAATAATGTCTTTTTTTTTTTTAAAAAAAGGAAGTTTTTTACTTTCCAGCAAAGCTACCAAGAATATGGAAATACCAACTAAAATGTGGAAATGCATAAAAACTTTAGGCAAGTTGCCAATAATGAAACTTCAAAACAAATTATGCTTTACTTAAATCACCTGAAACTTTGTATTATTAGAAAGACTTCCTACAGAAAATTATAGCTGCCAAGTCTGATGACCATCTGCAATTATGTTTAAAATAATTATTACTTTCCTCTGTACATACATAACTACTAAATTCTGAAATTCAAACCATTTATGAAATTAAATTTGCATAGACCTCCAAGGAAAAGCTTTATTTTAAACACTGATTTATTAAATAATAAAGTAGAAGTCCATGCTTTGTAAGTCAGCATTAAATTTCTCACAGAGAAATCAAGAGCAAAAATCCTATCATAGATAGTTAAATCCTCTAAATAAAATTTCATACAAGAAATTAAACAGGAGCTGAATTTATAGACGATGCCTGAGCTTTGGCCATTCTTCGAAATAGTGCTTGCTGTCTTTTTCTTTGAATTTCTTCAGGAGAATATTTTCTATTTTTCTCTTCATACTCTAAAAAAATCAAACAAAGCATATGAATTAATTTTACAACTTATAAAGTAACCCTGGGTATCTGACTTAACTTCTGCTTTTTCATCATTCAGGCCTGTGAGATTAGTTTGGCTATTAAATCACACATGACTATTACATATAAGATTTCCAAGTACAGATGTAGTTGATATAATGCTCTAGCCCCAAAGAAAACCAATGATGATCGATGATCACTAACTAATGCCCTCATTCACGTATGGTAAAACTTGATTTGATTAAATTGTTTTTTGAATATTAGCCAATTATTGTGGATGATGACATCTAATTAATATAGCCTATGACTTTATATATCTTAAAAATAAAGAGATTTTAAATGGTATATAAACTTTATAATGAATCAAACTGGGTATCTACTTCAAATGAGAGCTGGGAGTGGGGGTGCATACCTATAATCCCAACCCTCCAGTGAAGGAGGTGGGAGATCAAGGACATCTTCAGCTACGTACTGAGTTCAAGGCCAGCATGTGCTACATGAGACCATCTTCAGGGAAAAAGAAGAAAAGAATGGAAAGGAAGAGATGCCAAACAACTGTGAAAATAAATTAAATATTCATAAGCACTTTTCTTCTTAAACAGAGACACAAAGTTTTCATTTCAGCCACTAAAGATCTTTGAGTGATTAAAATGAGGTCTCTCATGTGAAACTGGCAATTTGTAACTCACTGTTAAAAACTGGACTTTTATTTGGACAATATATTTTGTAGAAAATTTAAGATAGTCACTATAAAATTAGTAAGTTGAAGTTTTGTATTAGAAACTACTCTCATTTAAAGAACATCTAAAATTTAAGACCATAAACCTAATACATATTTATTTGAATTTAATGTTTAAACCTCATGTTGTAAATAGTGATTTTTAGAGAAGAATCTGTATTATCAAATGAGGAAACCACAGAATTTGCTCTAAGAGATTTCTTTTGTTAATAAATGGAGACATTTCCCAAAATATCTATCTACTTCCTTTCTTGGAATAATCAGAAATGGAGAGGATATTCAAGATAAGAAATGTTTATTTTAGATCAGTTTCCTAAGCTAGCTGTCTTAGACTTGAGCTATTTTCCCTTCCAAAGAAATACCAAAACATACTTTATAATTAGCTTAACTAATATTTTACTTTCAAAGCTAAGAAACAAAACACTCAGAACATACACAGTTTACAGTCAATTGACTATAGGAATGAAAGCAGGTTACTAGTTCAGAAAAGTCCAAAAGAATATAGCATCTTTAAAAAAATTTTAAAAGTAGCTTGATAATATGGAAAATAATCTCAAATGACATGAAGTCACACTATAAAATTCTGATTTAGAGAGCCAGTCCCATTTGTCCTTCAACTCAATCTGTAATAAAAACACACTTAGAAAAGTCAACTTGCTGCAAGGTATTAAGCAGTTGGAGAATCTTCCTTTTTATTTTAAAGTGCAAGAATCAGTAACTGTTTTTCTCTAAACGGCCAGAAAAATGTTAATAGCAAAATATTCTTATTCAAATTGCTCAATTCTACCATTTTAGCACAAGAAGTCATACACAATATGCAAACAAACGATGGCGTTATGTTTGAATAGAACTCTAAGAATTTATGAATTCTCAGAAGTCAAATAATTTTTTTTTTTTTTTGAGAGGTCTCCCTGTAGCCTCAGTTGGCCAGGAATCTGCTACGTAGACCAGGCTGGCCTTGATCTCAGGGAGATCCATCTGCCTCTGCCTCCAGAGTGCTAGGATTAAAGGCATACACCACCACGCCCAGCAGTTTTTTTTTGTTGTTGTTTGTTTGTTTTTTTGGTATTTTTTAAAACCATTTAAAAAATTTAAAAATACTTTTAGTGAGCAACTTATATAAAAACAGCCTGCAAGCTGGCTAACTGGCCTTAATCCACTAACAGTTAAATGGGTTTTGCTTTCAGAATATTCAAAGAGAGTAGCTTCTGACATAAAAGGGAGTAGAAACAACAGGAAACACTGAGGCTGTATTTACTGAGAAAGTCTTATCAATAAATCTAGCAGAAGGAGTGCTAAATCGAAAGGTAGGTTTTTCATCTATAAAAAAATGGAGATTAGTCTTTAATGGGATTCATATTTTCAGGAATTAACAGGTACACTATATTAAGGATTGGCAAAATTAAGCTTTCATATATTGTGCAATTCCATCTATTTAAATAAATCAAGAGGTATATATACTCATCATTTTATATGCCCAGAAAATCCTTCAAGACAAAGAATTTAAGGGCTTGAAGATAAAGTTAAGGAATTGTTATATTCCAACAAGAATTGGAAGAAAGAAAAAAGCCAAGTAAACAATCAATCATGACCACAACATGCAATATCTCTAGGACACAATTAACAGACCAAAACCAAAGAATTTGTAGTATAAGAGAAGGGAACTAAGATAGATCAATGGCACAAAACACCATTCAATAAAAATTAAAGCACAAACTTTTCTAAATCTAGGTAAAGAATACTGAAAGCTGACAGAGGGAGGTACCAACTTCCACGAAAAGGCAATTCGATCAAGAGACCCCTCAGCAAAAACTCTAAAACCAAGAGAGAGCATGGCAGATGTATCTCAAGATCTGAAAACATACCTGTCAACCAAGATTACTACATCCAGCAAAGTTATCCTTTATAATTGAAGAACAAAGACCTTCAATGATGAAAATAAACTAAAACAGCTGGTAGCCACTGTCAGCACTGACAGCCAATCATACTAAGGGAATGCCATGCAGGGAAGGGGAGAAAGATGAACACAAGCACGAGAGTTCCAGAAATAAGACTTTTAATTGAAATAAAGATTTATAACTCTCCAATTAGAAGATATAAAGTGCCAGAATGGATTATAAAACAAGATCCAATTACATGCTGAATCTCAGCTGACATACACAGAATGAAACTGAAAATATACGAAAGGAATCTGAAAGCGAGCAGGAGTGCTTTTGACAAAGTCAAAATGTAAGCAGCTCACCACATAGTAATAATGGGAATACCCTATCATGAAGATGGGTGTGATAATCCCAACACTCAGGGAGATTAAAATAGAAGGATTTCAAAGTTCGGGTATGCCTAGATGATAAGCCATTCCAGGTCAGCCAGAATTATCAGAGAAAAATTGAAAATTAAAAGAAAACAAAAAACATCTCTTGGGCAGGCAAGATGGCGCATCAGGTAAAAAGGTGCTTGTTGTCAAGTTTGAGGACCTGAGTTCAATTCCTGGAACACACATGGTAGAAGAACAGACTCCCAGAAGTTGTCTTCTGACCTCCCCATCCATGGCAGATGTGCATCTCCCACTACTCCCACCCCACCAAAATAAAATAAATGTAATAAAAGTCTCTGGACACAAAGGGTGTAGAGATGCATAGGTCCAGATACAATAATGGGGTAATTTTAACACCATAATATTTCAACGTCATTAGTAGACTGACCATTCAGGCAGAAAAACATTTTAAACAGCACAAAGCCTTCAGAGCTAAACTGCTCACAGGCATCAAAAGGATTTAATGGACATATGCAGAATATGCCATTCAACCACTTCAGAACAAACATTCTTTTAGCAACTCATAAAACTTTCTCCAAAACAGATTACACAGTGTGGCATAAACTGTCTTCCAAATGTCAAGCTTGGCTGCACCCACTTGCTTAGGATCATCACAAACATGACTGTTGATACCCCTCAAAAGGGGCAGGGAGAGTCAGCCACACTTCCCAACCAGCCAATCTACCCAAGTTGCACCAGAGAGAGGGACTAAGGATACCTAAGCGGAAAACACCAGGAGGAGCTCTCACCATTTTTGATGGTTGCTGGAAAGTCATGAGACCAAGATTTTCCAGTGCGGCCCTGGGGTGGGGATGGAGGAGCCACCACACTCCTGTAAGTAACCCCTTGCCCACTGCTCTGTAAGTAACCCCAATAAACTTTTAGTTTCCCAAACTGTAGTTTGGAGAAATTATACCTCAGTTTGTCATAAGGATGGTGGGAGGGGGCCAACCAGTTTGTGCCTCCCAGAAGGAATTTCAGTAACACACAGGCCATAAAGTCTCAACCAATGAGAACAACAATAGAAGACATAATTTCCTCTCTTATCAGATCACATGGAAAAAAATTTAGAATTCAACAGTAAGAGAAATTATACAAATAAATGTACATAGAAAAAAGTTTCAATGATCACTGAAAAAAATTACAAGGGAAATGTGTAAATTCCTAAAATCAAGTAAAAATGAAAACAACTTACCTAGACCTTGGGATACAGTTAAGTCAGTGCTAAGAGGGAAGTTTATGACTATGAGTTGCCTTCATGAAAAATAAAAGCCGGATATATCAAATCAAATTTATTCTATAAAGTCAGTAATAATTTCGATATCAAAACTCTCTTGGATGATCATGGCAAATCAAATTTGGTAACACTGACAATATCAAGATCAAGCTGATTCTATTTCAGGGATGGCTCAGAGCATATATATAAAAATCAAGGACAAAACTCATATATTCATCTTAACAGATACAGGAAAAGCCTTGAACAAAATTCATAATAACCCTAAAGAAACTAGGAACAGAGTATCAAACCTCAACAAAATAAATAAATACTATATGTGACAAACCCACATCTAACATTATACTGCTGAAAAATGGAAAGTATCTCCTCTAAAATGTCAACTCTTGACTCTTACTCAACACAGTGCTGGAACTTTTAGCCACAGCTAAAGACAGGTAAGACAAATGGGCAAGGCATCTGTTAACCATATAAACAGATCCAAAGACTCCACCGGAAAATTCTTAGAAATGACAAACATTTTTGGCAAAGTAGCAATATACAAAGCTAATATATAAAAACTAGTGGCTTTTCTACATTTCAGTATCAAACTTGCAGAGAAAGAAATCAGGATGAAATCAAATAACAAAACTCTAGGTTATAACAAACCTAACCAAGGAGGTGAAAGACCTCTACAATGACAATTACAGAACAAAGAAAAAAGTTGAAGACATTTAGAGGATGGAAACATTTCCAGTGTTCATGGACTATTAATATTGTGAAAAATGGTCATTTTACCAAAAGTGCTCTACAGATTCAATGAAATCCTCATCAGAACTCCAATGATTCTTTAGATTTCTAAAATTTATATAGAGAAGTACCAAAACCCCCAATTACCTAAGAAAAATAAGCAAAGATGGAGGCATCAAAATAAACTGATTTCAAGGTACATCACAGTGCCAAGGTAACAAGACCAACATGGTACTGTCACAAAACAGACATGTTGATCAATGGAAGAGAAAAGAAAAATCAATGCATGTAGCTGCAGCTGACTCTTACCTAAGGGCCCCAAAACACGTTAAAGACAGCCTTTTAAACAAACTGTATTAGGAAAACTAGGTATCTACATGTAGAGACTGAAACTTGATCCCTGACTCCTATCCTTTATAAAAAACAAAGATATTATTGTAAAACCTGAATTTTATAAACAACTGAAAAACACAGGGAAAACACTTCAAAATACAGGCACAGGCAAGAACTTTCTGAAAAAGGACCCCAGTCACTCAAGGGACAAAAAGGAGCCAGAATTGGAAAACAGGAATGCATAAAATTAAAAAGGTTTTGTACAGAACAAGAACTATTAAGCCCAGTGAAGAGAGAACCTACATTATGGGGAAATACCTTTGTCAGGTACTTATCCAACAGGGGTTAATATCCAGCACATATAAATAAACTAAACATCAAAGAAACAGATAATCCAATGAACAAATGGCAAATTAAATGAACACACTTCCAAAGAAGTAAAATAGCCAATGAATTCATGACAAAAAGTACAACATATTTAGCCGTCAAGGAAATGCAAATCAAAATCCTATTGAGATTTCATCTTACCACAGAATGGTTTTCAAGAAGAACAATAAAAGACTATTCTGTGAGGCTGGAGAGATGGCTCAGTGGTGAAGAGCACTGACCACTCTTGCAGAGGATCTGGGTTCAGTTCCCAGCACCCACATGGCAGCTAATAACTGTCCGTAACTCATGTTCCAGGGGCTCCAATGCTGTCTTCAGACCTCCATGGACACTGCACGACACACCTGCAGGCAATGTATGCTCATATGACTCATAATATGACTATTCTGTTATTTGACAATTAGAATCTAAAGGGGACATGCAGGAAAATTTAGTTATTTCACCAAGAAATTTAAGTTTGGGTAAGGATGGTAGTAATAGAGTAAGGTGGACAGTTTCAAGACATGTTTTGAAGTGTGGTTTAATGAGCTTACTGAAATGGAAAATCTCAAGGAGGCACTGGAAGACTTAAAAAGGATCAAAAAACTCATTATTCTAACACAACCAGCATTGACTCTTTTATCAGATACTAGCTTCAGTCTTACATTTTAGGTAAAACAAGTAACTTGTGTTTTCAGATGACACGTCTCAAAGAAAATTATTTCATACATACCTTTAGAAGACTGTTTCAAAGATTCAGAATATGTTACTGAAGACTGCCACTGATCAGCTTCTCCAAGCAATGAGTTGTCAGTGTACTCTTCCCCCAGATATTGTATGACTTTGGTAGTAGGCATGTTTCCTGTTATGCAATTTTTATTTAACTGAGAATTCTTCCTTTTAAATGTAAATTTTGAAAACAATATTTTGTTAAGGCCACTGTGAACCTCATCTTCTGGAATGTTGTGGGATAGCTGATGAGTACTCAACTTCTTATCTGTAGCAATTTCTATGTTCATATTACCCAAGCTAACATTTGAAGTTTGACTTTCTGCAAGAACTAATCTCGAGCTATTCACTTGTATTGGAGCATGCAGATTATTGACCTGAACATTTGGATTCTTGGAGCACACAGACAAATTTGTTGTAGTATTCAAAACACTGGGATAATCTCTACAGAGTTCCCTTTTCTCCACTTTCACTGATTTACTTATTTCTGAGTTACCTGTTAAAGATGTTTGCACTGAAGTTTCACCAACATTCCGATGCTTTGATTGTACCAAATGACTCCCTCTTTTAGATGCAGTAGATGTGTTTCTGGCTCCCTGTCTGGAACTGTTATTGATACTTTCTGACCCCCTGCTGTCCTTGTTTTCCTGCTGAGTTAGTCTTTCAATGTCATCACATGCCTGATATAACAAATCATCATCTACATCATCGGATCCCCAGGTAGTCTCTAACTGATGGCATGCTTTAATCATTTCATTGGCCAATGATGGATCATTCCAATCATCAAAGAAAGAATCAGAATCAAGCTTTGATGTATTAGCCTGATTTGGATTAAAAACACTGTTTTTAATGCCTGGAGATGTAGAATCAAAGGGGTCAGTATTAACAGGTGCTTTCAAAGATGGATTCACACTGATCTCATATTTTTGTTCATGAGGATTTCTTTTGTACAAATCAGTCTTCTCAGAAGCATGTATGTTAGACACAAAGTGACGATGATTATTTTCTTTCACTTCTGTGAAATCAGCTACAATGTCACAATCTTGAATTTTATCTTCAGTAACAATTTTATGAAAAGCTTCCTCACATCTCATTCTATTTCCAGTGAATGGTAATTTGCTTGATTTATCAAGGGCACAAATTCCCTTTGGATCTGTAACCTGAGCAGTTGTAGAAGGGATTTCTGCATTTTGCATGATAAAAGGTTCATTACCTAGTAAGTTTTCCCAGTCATCCTCAAAGTCACCAGCAGTAAGTCCACCAATATGTTTACTAGAGGCTTCTGGCTCCCTGCAGGGAACCACACATGATTTTGGCATTTCAGCAGTCCTTTCTGGAGAAGTGGTATTTGTCAGATTTTCAGTGACCAGAGTTTCATTAGCAATGACTTTCTCTTCTATCAAGGCACTCTTCTTTCCAAAGGTAGTATTACTACTATTCATAAAAGAATCTGACACATCTTGGCTTAGCCGTCCACTACACATCTGAGTAGAACCATCAAAAATGGCATTAAAAGCTGCTTCAACAGTCTGGTCAAATGGCTTCTGACCACCGTTTTGCTCATTTGACACAGATATGCAGGTGTTTCTTTTTATTGGCCTCTTTGTTAGAACCCTATCAATTTCAGAAACATCATATGATTCCATCTGTACGTAATCTTTACAGTTATGTAAACTCCCTGCTTCTGAAGTTGTCTCAATAAAATCATTTCTCCTGTTTTGCTCCTGAATCACATCAAGCTCTTCCATATTTTTATCAAATTGTTTAGCCAATTTCATAAGTTCTTTTTCTCGATTTTGTGTTTTTAACCTAGTAAAACAACATTTAAAAATTATAACTAAAAAATGTTTTAAGAACCATTAAATTTCATTTAACATATCCTGGTATATGAAAACAGCAAATCCTTAACTCTCAGATCACAATGACTTTAGCTCTAGAAAAGTTCATGTCAAAACCAAGAAAATTTTTCTAATTATTTTGATTTATTCAAAAAGTTCAAAATTACTAAGAATATTTGCCTCATGGAATTACAGAGTCTCAAGTTCGAACTCACCTTGTACAGCTGACTTTCAGTCTCGTCTTTTCTTTTGCTATGCTGGGAGTACAAGGGATAGCAGTGGCACCAATCCAGACACCCAGCATGGAGTTGGTCACTGGTTTTTCATCCTTTGGAAGAGGGAAAAAACACAAAAATGCCATGAGAAAAAAAGATAGAAAGGAAGGAGAGAAAGAGAAGTGGGTAGAGGAGAATGGGGGAGGAGAGAAGAGAAGCTACTTGGAGTCACTTTCCTCCAAGTAACTCAACAAAAGCAGACGAGAGGCTGGAGAACCGAGGAAGAAGCCAGGAGTGCAGACCCACTTGTTTCCCGGGGTAAAAGTATCCAAAGGTAGGAATTCCTTATTCTTAGAAAACAGGTTTGAAAAAGTGAATTACCTAGCAGGTTCACTTTAATATCATACACATACAGAAGAGCACTTTATAAAAGGAAAATTGATAATTCATTTGACTTGATAAGCACATAAAAGGGATCTATTAGAATCAAACTGTGTGCACAAACAAACACCAGATGTAAAAATAAAGACACAGAATTCTTTGTGTATCATAATTCTCCAATTTTCCTTATCATTATATACTCTTTATCTAGAATTAGGAAATCTAATTTGACTTAAACTGAGGGCACAGATCAAAGGAAAGTCAGAAGAGATTAAACATCTTAGAGCAAGGTCAGAACTAAACCAAGAATGAGGGGAACAAAAAGAGCAGAAAAACTTCAAGTCATTTTACATAATTGTTTGGCTGTATTTTTCAGTTTCAATCACACAAATGGGTTCTACATTGGGAACCAAATAGTTTACGAAATTTTGTTTATTAACTAAGAAGAACATAAATACAACACAACGTAAAAAAATTACATTACTAGGCTAGAGGGTGTTAAAGGCACGTACTCTTCTTTTTACAATAGCTTAGTGTATAGCAGTGCCCAGTAGGAGGAAAATGCTGGGTCAGGGAGATGGTCCAGCAGGTCAACAACTTACACAGTTGTCTTTTTTCTCCTCAAATGCATATACACAGAAAGCAAACATAATCTTAAAACTTAAAAACCCCAAGTCTTCAAAGAATCAACAGGCAGTTTTCTTAACACCCATCTGAATCTATTTGACTTCAGTTCTACAATATAATAGTTATGTTCACTTCTACAGTCAATATTTTCCTACTTGTTTGAACAATCTTAAATTAAGGAAAATGATATTCCTAATCATTTAATTATGGAATCTGTCCTCATGTGTAAATTCATCCAATTTTCAGTTAGATTATGACAAATTTCTGTACTCAGATTCATATTATCATGGGGCTTTCTGATTACATAATGTATTGATTTCTAACTACATTCTAGGTGCCGTATAAGGTATCCAAACATATTACTTCAGTTCACCTTAAAGAGTATATACTGTACAAAGTTGTATAAAGATGAAAAAAACCAACATATTAGAAGTTATCACTGCAGAAAATCAAATGACTGGTCAATGTAGAAGTATATATCTTTAAAACACATGAAACTTGAAAATATTAGGAAGAAATTAAAATGACGAATTGAAGATAATAAGAGAAAAAAAAATCACATAACAGAAAACACCGAATAACACATTTGTCTCAGCATCTCGGTCAGGCGTGGTGGCACACACCTCTGATCTCAGCACTTGGGAAGCAGAGGCAGGCAGATTTCAGTGAGATCGAAGCCAGGCTGGTCTACATAGCAAGTTCCAGGCCAGCTGGGGCTACAGAGAGACCCTGTCTCAAAAAAAAAAAAAAGAGAAACTTATCTCAATGCACCTTTTCTCTTATGGAAGTTCCCATGTATACACTATTTTCAGCCATTTAAGTAAAAGATCCAATAACATAATCAACATTATATCTCTATTTAGGCTGGCAGTTCAACCGCACTTTATTAGGCCTCTTTTTAAAAAAAATTTTATTTACTATTTTTATTTATGTGTATCCATGTATTGCCTGCATGTAGGTAAGTGCATCTGCGTCGTGCAATGCCCACAGAGGACAGAAGAGCCTGTCGGAACCCCTGGAACTGGAGTTACAGACAGTTGTTAGCTGCCATGTGGGTGCTGGGATTTGAACCCAGGGCTTCTGCAAGAACAGTGAGTGTTCTTAGCCACTGAGCCATCTCTCCAGTCCCTATTAGGCCTCTTTCATATGACACCCACAATTAATGAAGACTTCTTATAACAGCATTACAGTACAAACTCCTTCAGTAACCAACGCTGATACACAATGCAACAAGGAGTGCTGAGCTGGCAGCAGCAGCTGCTGACCACGCTGCTTCTGTGTTTAGATTCTTATAGCCACAAAGAAAAGCCACGTTTCCTGTCTTCTCTCTGTGGACACGGGGATTCCTTAGAACCTCACTCTCAGCCACTGCCGTACGTGGACAGTTACTATATGGTCAACTTATTACATATTAAGGAAAACTACAATTTTTTCAACAACATTAAGCGAGAACGAGATGTCCTCTGAGTTTAAGGTTGTTAAGGAAAAGGGCTGGCGAAGTGGGTCAGCATTGTAAAGGCTCTTATTGCCATGCCTGAAGACCTGAGCTCATTCCCTAGGACCAACACGGTGGAAAGAGGGGACTAAATTCTGCAAACTGTCTTATTATGTCCATACTTGTACTGAAGCACATAGGCACTCACACATACACACATTAAAAAATGTAAAAAGAAGGGCTGGAGGGATGGCTCAGTGGTTAAGTATACTGGCTGCTCTTGCAGAAGACCTGGGTTCAAATCCTAGCACCCACATGGAGGCTAACAACTGTCTGGAACTCCAGTTCCAGGAGATCCAATGCCCTCTTCTGACTTCTGCGGGCACTGCATGACATGGGACACACATGCAGGCATAACACTCGTACACATAAAATAAAAAGTAAATTTAAAAAACGTAAAAAGAAAAAAATTAAAATAAGGAAAAGAGAGAAAAGTACAGAAACTCAGAAGGGTTCAGTACTAGGCCCATGCTCATCACTCACAGTGCCAGGGCTAAGGTGACAAATACGACGCGAGTCACTGGACTCCTCTGGGCCAAACCACTGACTTAAGGACCACAAAACCTAAAGTGAACAAACCTCTGAAGATGGGTCTATTACAGTAAATAATTAAATCATAATTAAAACCTCATATTTATAGTACTCTGTACTTTGAGTTTTTCTTATAATTTACCCTCATAAAGATCCACTGAGAGAGCAAGACAGGTAGTAACTCACCAAGGACACATAGCGTAAGAGGCTGTGTGAGGACCACATATAAACCCAGCGCTCATTCCAGTTACTGTCTGAAATTTTATAAGCCAGTGAATGCTAAAAGCAGTTTCAATGAGGAGATGTACTAGAGATGGCAAGCACAGACAACAAAACTTCAATTGCCTTATCCTATTAACTTATTCAAGCTGTGACTTGAAAAATAAGGTATGCTGTTAAATACATTAAAGAGTAAAATTAAACTAGGTGAAAATTACTACCCTAAAATTAAAACAAAATATCTGCTTAGGAAAATATATACAGTTGGCCCTCAGTAAGAACAGGTTCCATAATCAATCTACCACATACTGAAAAATTCAGTAAAAAAAAAAAACAAACAAACAAACCGAAAACAACCCCGCCCCCAACCCTGCATCTGTTTGGACATATATGGACATTTTCTTTGTTATTCCCTCAACAATACAGTGTAACAATTAACTACATTATGTTAGGAGTAAGTACTCAAGAGGACTTAAAGTATATAGAATGGGCTGGAGGAGCACTCAGTGGCAGAGAGTACTTTTGAAGCCTTGGATTTGAGCTCCAGCACTGTAAAAAAAAAAAAAAAAGAAAGAAATAAGGTACATGGCAGAATATGCACAAGTTACCACACAAAAACGACACCATTTTGCCTGGTGGGGTGGCACGTGTGTTTAATCCCAGCAATCAGAAGGCAAAGGCAGGCAGATCTCTGTGAGTTCCAGGCCATCCTGGTCTACATAGTGAGTTCCAGGCCCAGTTGATGCTACAGGGAGATCCTATATCAAAAAGACCAAAAAATAAGAAAACTACACCATTTTATAAAATGAACTTCAGATTCCGCAGTTCTGTGTGGAATCCATGGTTACCAAGGTTTGACGATATTACCCATTTTATATTGTGCTTTTTCTTCAAAATATGCACTAAAGATAAAAGCTAAATGTAACCTTTGCTGCAGTAAATACATTATTTAGCGTATGACTGAAACACACAGTTGCAACATACCACAGAAACTTCACTTTTAAATAAACTATGAAACTAGCCATATTTACCTGAGGAGCAATACGATTAACAATATTTGAAATCTCATCACTATCAGTGCTGCAAATCTGTTTTTTTCTTCCTTTACCTAAAGAAACAAACACAGTTCTATAAATTTTAGATAAATAATAATTTTAAAAAGCTGTCACTTTTTAGAAAAGGATTTTAATCAATGAAACTTAAACGACTTCACTGTCACGTACATATTGGAGACAAAATCACTTAAAACTCAAAAAAATCTACTGTATTAAAGTTTCTGATTTACACAACTAAAAATTTATAAATGCTGCTCACTGATCAAACACCTGTGTACATAAAAGTGTTAACAAATTACCTAACTGTTTTGTCATTGGAGAATTCTGATCCCAGAAGATATCGTTCTGTCCATCTGGGTCATTTGGAGAACTGAAGGTGCAGGACGAAAAATCCATTTTCAGGACTCCTGTTGGCGTTTCAAACCTTTCTGTAAAAATGATTAAAACGACAAGCGGTTTCATTTGAAAGCACTACTTTACTTCATAGCATCCCAAACTCAAATAACAGCTTAGACAAAATTACGTCTGGTATAAAATTTTCCCGTTTAGAATAAAAACATGTCTTTGCACTTAATAACTTTCATGTTCTAACTGGAAAGTATTTTTTTAACACGTGGTAAACATATGATTGTATACTTATAACCCAGCCACTGAGTTGCAATCACTGGGCTTCTAGACTTTAGGAACCTGGTATGCAACTTTCCAGCTCCTTTCATCAACTCCCTAACCTACGTAACTACTCAAAATGGCAACAGTGCTCCATTTCTAGCTAAGTTTTGTCTGGCATTACTAACATTTTTACAATTTGCATTTACCGCTCACCCCCACGTAGCTTTATGACAGCAAAGTATGCAAGCCAACAGAAGCTCCCTTTCCGACGCTTCAGGAAGGGCGGGGCGCCTGATCGCTTGACCCGGAGTCTTTAAAGTGCAACCCCAAAGTTACAGGCGAGCAAAGGGCCTTCGGTTTGCAAGTTCCCGCTTCTTCAAAAGGAGGTGGGATGTCGCCGAGGGGGCCCAACCCTGCCCCACAGACAGCCCAGGGGCAGCGGGGGCCGCACAGGCCGCACCGGGCCTCGCTCCCGCCGCATCCCCCGGCGTCTCAGGGTCTTGCCCCGGCCCCTCTCGCCTCGCCGCCCCCAGGCTCCGCTCCGCTCTCCTCACCCCGCGGGCTCCGCTCGCCGCCCGCCGCCCTGCGCGGCTGCCGCGAAGGCCGCGCTCCCGCCCTGGAGCCGCGGGCCTCCTTGAGCCGCCCGGAACACGGCTCCGATGACCAACGGGCGTCCCCGGCCGCCGCCCCGCGCGGCGCGCTCCTCGGAGCCGAGCCGTCTCCATGCTTCCTTCGCCGACTCATTCCTCGGACACCCTGGGCCAGCCGCGTTCACATTTTACCACAGATAAGAGCCACAGCGGCCTCACGGCGCGCCAACGGGCCGGCGATCCCCGCCATCTTCACTGCCGGAGCCCGCGCAAGCGGTTGCCGCCGATTGGCTGCGCCTGCTTGAGGGGCGGGGCTGAGGGCCGGGCTACGGGCCGCGGGCGGAGCCGAGGGGCGGGGCTACGGGGCTGTGCCTGCCTGAGGGGCGGAGCCAGGGGGCTCGGGCCTCCGCATGACCGGGGTCTGCTGGGGTGGGTCTGTCTTCCAATTCTTCCTGGTCTGGCCAACTGGTTGGGACTTGTTAAGGTGGTAAGCAAACGCAGTGGCAGATCATTATTGAATTTACAACTGAAGTAGCACGTTTCTCAGACCCAGATGGTGGTGTGTTTTAGGATTCGTTAAAGAGAGAAAATAAAAGCTACAGATTAGGAAGGAATCGAGCTGATCGTAGCTTCTCATACTATAAAATCCAAAAGTTAGGAAACGTTATTTAAATTTAATAAATTTAAAAACTTTCCATGCAGAATACAGTTGTCATCTCAGTGGAACAGCACAGCGTTTATTTTGAGCCAAATAGTAATGACCATGACCAGAGAAAACCGATTCAATATAAAAGCAATTACACAAACATTTTTTTTAGGGGGGAGTCTTTTTGAGACAGGGTCTCCCTGTAGCCCCAGCTGCCGTGGAACTCGCTATGTGGACCAGGCTGGCCTTGATCTCATAGAGATCCACCTGCCTCTGCCTCCTGAGTGCTGGGATTATATGCAGGCTCCACCACACCCGGCTAATTACACAAAACTTTTACAGTTACAGGGCAAAAGAAAGACAAATGAAGCCTTTTGTCTAGAACTTTGGTGGGGACATTAGGTGGGTAGGCAGTTTGCAGAAAAGCAGGGAAAACGTAGGTTTTAAAACATAGGTTTTAGATGCAAACGATGTTGTGTTTAGCTTTTGTTTGGTGGAATCTGGTAGTCAGCTAATACATTCCAGAGGTTTTACCTGATAGTCAAAAGTGTGATCAGGTATCTGACACAGGTGGACAATTCATGGCCCATTACAACACTAAAGGTAGACCTAAAGAATATTTATTATTGCCGGGCATGGTGGCACACACCTTTAGTCTCAGTACTTGGGAGGCAGTGGCAGGTGGATCTTTGTAAAATTGAGGCCAGCCTGGTCCACATAGCTTCAGGCCAGCTGGGACTATAGGAAGACCCTGTCTCAAAAAAACCAAAATCCAAAACCAACCAAACAAAAAGAATATATATATATTTATCTACAACGCTCCAGTTCTCCACATGACAAAGTCCTGTAGCTTTTTAAAACAGTCGTATGTAGCCAATGCTGGTCTCCTAATCATCGTTATGTAACATACTTGCTTGAACAGCTCCTCCTGCCACAGCCTACAGTTTTCCAGGATTACACATGTGGGCCACATAATCAATCAGCAGTGTAGAATTTTCAATGTAAGCACAGCTTTTTTCCTAGGAACTTCAGGTCCTAGTACAAAGTCAAAAACAAAGGTCAATTGTGCTTTAATAGATTAGTAATAAAATTCTAAGTTTTTTTTTCTTCTTTCATTTAATTATTTTTATGGGGCTTTTGGGTACACTAACATGCCCCCTCTGAAGAGGTAACCCTAAAATTTTTTTAAAAATATTTTTATTTTTATTTTATGTGTATGAGTGTATTGTCCACATGTATGTGAGTGCACCCAGGTTGTGCAATGCTGTGAAGGTCAGAAGAGGGTTTCACATTCCCCTGGAACTGGAGTTAAGGATGGTTCATAGCTGCCATGTGGGTGCTGGGGATCAAACCTGGGTCCTCTGCAAGAGCAGTCAGTGCTCTTAACTGCTAAGCCATCTCTCCAGCCTCATTAACCCTAAAATCTTATAAGGGCTAGATACAAGCTCCCAAACTTTTCACATTTTTGGCCTTTGAAAGAGAGTATGTTGCTAACAGTCCCAAGGATATTTTGACTTTTAGCCAAGTGTCTCCCAGATGTCTGGTTCCTCCAAGGGGTGGGACTTGTCACAGAGAAGGGACTACTGAGGGGCTGCTGGGTGCCATCTTGGGACCTAGGCCGCATTCCACGAGTAACATGCAGCAACGGGTGTGGGGAATGAGTGTGCAGCAGCTGGGCATACTCAAGAACAGAATGGCCTGGCACTTATGGACCTGGGACAAGACTGTTAGCCTCTGAGACATGGGTAAAAGCTAGGAGTGACTATGGGCGTGTCACGGGAGCAATCTGATAGGGTAGGCTCTGAGCCTCAGCATAGAGCAGAGGAGCTGAGCTGTGTGCAGCTAGGCACCCGGTGCTGGTTTCTTTGTAAGTCACTCCCCCTCCCCCCACCACGATCAAAATAAACGCACATATATATATGTTATATGGTTTGCCTGATAGCGCAAGAGACCCAGCGAGAATTCTGGTGACACCAAGAAACTGACTGCTTTTTATAATTTGTAAAAGCAGTAAGTGAGGTAATAAATAATTAGGAATAAATTGAACCAGTGGTCGTGCTGTGTTCATGGGCTGTGGGACTCACTGAACAGTGCCAGTTCTGGCCAAGTTGATCTAGTTGATGCATGCGCTTGCAGAGTCTCAGGACAGGGCTGAATGTACAGATAGGCAGGGTAAGTTTACTCCAAGATTTTTAGGGTACTGCAAAGGGAGAAAAATATACAAGAAAGTCTAGATCTATTGAAGAACAAACAAAGCTGGGTTGCACCCGATTCATGAGCTGAGTTATAGTAGTGTTCTGATGGTGAAGGGCAGACAAATGAATGAAAGGCGTGACGTAGATAGCCATCACACAGACTTCCACAGAAACGGAGACTGTTAATACAAAGGTGACCCTCTAGAACAAAGGGAAAACACTTTTGGAAATCAGTAGTGTAGCCAGCTGGAATGGTGGTGCACACCTGCAGTCCCAGCACTCAGGAGGCTGAAGCAGGAGTATTGAGAGGTCTAGGCCATCCAAGCTACATTGTGTGATAGGAAAGCAAAAATAAAAATATAGTTTTGGTCAGTATGATTCCCACATGGTAAAAGAAAGGTGACTCCTATCTCAATCAGTAAGTCAAATGCAAATTGATTACAGTTTTAATTGTAAAATAATTTTTATAGAATCCTGTAAATTCTCACATCAGAAAATTTTAAAAGGAGGAAAAAGGTCACCAAACATAAGGAAAATAATTATAAATTTGACTACATTAAGTTTATAACAGAATTTCTCTCAATTAAAAGGTAAAATTAGAGACCATGAAAGGCCAGGTACAGTAGATATTTATAACGTGATGGTTAACACTGGCTGTCAATTTAACACAATCTAAGATCAGCTCTTAGATGACGCTGGGCATTCTTGTGGCTTCTGATCACATCTGGGAGGGATTATCAAGATTAGGTTAAATGGGGTGGGAATACCCACCCTAAATGTGGGTAGCACCATTACATGGATAGGAATTCTGGACTGCACAAAAGGGGAAAGTTAGCTGAGCACGAACATTAGTTCTCTGATTCCTGACTGAGTGCAATGTGACCAGCTGCCTCGAGGTCCTGCTGCCTCAATTCCCTGTCGTGATAGACTGCACCTTCAAACTCTGAACCAAAATAAGCCCTTCCTCCTTTATGTTGCTTCTTGTCAGGTATTTTGTCACAGCAAGGAAAATGACTAGCATAGATATGTAACTAAGAGTCCTATTATGATTTAGGCATGAAGCCCCCCCAAAGGGGACTTGACCCCTGATAATACAAACAAATAATTTGTATTAGTTACTCATCTGTGGGACACAGCACCTGACAGAAGAATCCCAGGGGAGGAATAATTTAGTTGAGCTCAGAGTTTCTGGCTGGGAAGCATGGTGACCAAGGCTCCATTTGGGATGCGGGAACATGTTGCTTGACCTGTTACATCTCATCAGTGCAGGTAACAGAGAGACTTGGCCATGGCCTTAACACCTACTTCTGCTATCTGGACTCTGTGTCCCCAAAGATTCTACAATTTTCCAAAATGGTACTGGCAGCTGGTGACCAGGTATTCAAGCACAGGAGCCTGTGGACAACATGCAACAGTCAAACAGTAACAACAGTGTTCATAGTTTACATTCTGGTGAAGTTTTTGGCTTTTTGAGAACTCTGACTTCGGGAACAGATGACCCACCCACCGACCAACAAGTTTATGATTTGATGGCATTATTGGGGGGTGATGGAGAGAAGAGGCAATGGAGCCTGTTTGGAGGTGCTATGCCCCTGGGGGAACCTCTTTGAAGGCTGTATCATGCCTCCTGCATCTGTCTCCCCGTCTCTCTGTTTCCCACCGACTGTGAACTATTTCTTCCCACCACATACTGCCGCCATGACGTTCAGCCTTCTTTCCCACAGCGGTGGAACCCCTGACTCTGGTCAGCAATGTCTGAAATCATTCAACAAAACCCCCCTTCCTCCTTTAAATTGTTTCTCTCAGGCATTTTGACAGAGTGACAAAAATCTGCATAGGCCCATATATAAGCTATATGAAAAAACAGATGAGTAAGAAAGCATAAGGAGCAATCTGCAGTACAGGATCTTCACAATAGGAAAACACGGGGGCTGGAGAGATGGGTCAGTGGTTAAGAGCACTGACTGCTCTTCCAGAGGACCCAGGTTCTGTTCCCAGAACCCACATGGCAGCTAACAGCTTTCTGGAATTCCAGTTCCAGAGGATCTGATACACTCTTTTGACTGCCACAAGCACTGTGTGACACTGGTGCTGCAGGCAGACAGTACACTCATAC